CCACATGAATATATTTCAAAGATTTTTTTTACATAAGAGTGTTAGGAGATGTGAGAGGAGAGGTGATCACGCCACATCCGGTACACTTTTGACTTTATTTTGTCTCTTGTTGCGGAGGTCGGGCCATTGATGGAAGACATGGAGTTTATTCTATAGAAACTTAGACAGGAACAAAATATGGTAGCAGATCGACTAACGATATACCCTCGCACTGAGTATAGCATTATTGTATATATAGCTCTAAATTGGACCCGTGTATCGAGAAGCTTTTGCCTCTTTGTTGTAGCCCTATATTATACGAGAGAAGATAAATTCATCCCACTAAAAGAAAAGACTTTCACGCTTCACATATCGGTGGAGGTTACCGCCCCGGCGCAGCTTGATCCATAGCCACTACATGGACTAGTGGGATAGACGTGGACGTGGACTTCCATGTTTCTAGCAATACCATAGCCGAAGTAGGAGCACCAGGAAGAGTACGGGGCCGAGCGGTAGAAGGCGACATCTACGCCACCGCGTGCGCCAGCGGTAGGGCTACCGTCGCCGGGCTACCGCCACCGGGCTACCGCCACCAGCGTGGCCACTGGCGGAGGACCCCGGTGGGCAAGGTGTGGCAGCTGCCTCACCTTGATTTGGTCCAATTTTTTTATATATGTACACTTCGTTCGCTAATCGCTAGGATTCTGGGAATCGCTAATCGCTAAGTAGAGATATTAGAGAGAGAGATCATTTTATTGGGCCAGACAGCCTTAGCCAGCCCAGTATTTGGGCCTTCTAGAGACGCATCGCACATGAACGGCATCGATCGATTCAAGCCAGGAGCAGGCGGAGAGGTAGAGCTATTCGAGCCAGGCAAACAGCGACCGAGCGACGCAGCCACTCACGCAGACCGGCATACACACGGAGCAAACAACAAACCCTAGCGCGGCGGTGGCCAGATGGGGCGGCGGGTCGGCGGCTGTGGCGTCGAGCACTCGTCGGGCAAGCGTGAGGTGTGGCTGGGCACTGCCGACACACGGATGCGGGCACGCGGCGACCGGCGGCTGCGGCTGGGCCTAGCGAATGGCGCGTCAGCACAGGCTGCGACTGGGCCTAGCGAACGGCGCGGCAGCACAACGCGGCAGCAGCCAGCTGCCCAGCTTCGCGTCCTTCTCGTCTCGGCCGTCAGAAGATGGAGAGTAAGGGGAAGGGGCCAAAGGGGAGAGGTACATTTTCTGAATTTTGTAGCATTTTTTAATACCTTGTTATATGCACAATCAGTAGTTTCAATTCCAATGATTTATCTCTTCTATTGCAAATGCAAATCATTTTTGGTACTGTATGGGCTATAATTATTCAGATTAGATGCATGTATATTTTCTAAATTATAAATCATTTTTGGGTAGCATTTTTTGACATCTTGAAAGCAATGCAATGTAGTGATAATTTAATGGTGTGAAATTGTGAATTGCAGGAAGGTAAGGCACTGCCATTGCCCGAGTCTTCTAGACATCATTGGAAGCTTCATTATCTGTATGTTTTAAGTTGTTTTTCTATTGAAACATGTCTGCATTTTCATCGTATTTGGTTATTTGTTTGTGGTATGCAATGTTAGTGTGTACTGACTCTTTTGGTTTGCACCAAAAAATTCTTTGCTTAAGACTTCGTCACACCTTAAAGTTTTCGTCCTCCGCCTCTCAGCGTGGCCATGGTCGCCTCCAACCTACACCGACCTCGTCGGCTACGAGGACAAGCAGTGGGCTCCAGATCCAGCGAGCGCGTGCTCCGTCGGCCGCCGTGGTTAGATCTAGGGTTTATTTAATTTTTAGTTATATATTTTTGGTTTAATTAATGGAATGGACTTTTGACCACCATATATATACTACCTCTATAAAGCAATATAAAAGAGTATCAATCACTACTTTACCGATTTAAACGCTCTTATATTTTTTTATAAAAAAGGCTCTTATATTTCTTTACGGAGGAAGTACTTTAAATAAAAAAGAAAAAAACTTGAACTGCGACGCCCGTGTTGGGTGCACTGGCGTGCCGCGGACACGGACGGACATTTTAAGACAGCAGTTTTAACTTTAAAAAATGAAATAAGGTTCCAAACGCTCTTATATTTTCTCCAA